GTATTATCATTATCGTGTAATTGTAGCAACTGTCTAGATTCTTCTTTAACTTCATCTGTGACCCATTTGTTGTTCAGGTGGTTACTATTTAATTGCCATGTATTTATGAAGTTTTTGTGGTTTCTTTTGTCATTGACTTCCAATTTCATTGCATATGGTCTGATGATATGCATTGAATAATTTCTATTGCTTTGCATTAAGTAAGCATGTTCTATGAATTAGTATGTGATCTATTTTGGAGATGTTCCACGTGCATCTGAGAAGAATGTGTATTCTGATATTGTGGTGGAGAACCCTATGCAACTTTATTTGCACAAATTCTGGATCTGTTTTAATATTTCATTGTTATTTGTCTAGTTCATCTATCTTTCTGTGACAGTAGAACATTGAGATGCCCATTACAATTGTATTAGTGTTTATTTGATTTTGCATGCCTGTTAATATTTATTTTATACAGTTGTGTGCACTGGAATTTCTTGCATAAATATTCCTGTCCATTGTCCCTTCTCTTTGATTGTTCCCTTTTTTTTTAAACAAGGACCTAGTGATGTTCTCTGCCTCTCTTAATCAGTATTGGCTTGAATTTCAGTTTTCTGAAAATAGAATATTTTACCCCTGCTTTTCCAGGATTCCTATCACATGGAGTATTGTTTCATATGTTTTAAATTTCAGTCTGTGAATTTCTTTTTAATTTTTTTCCCTAACAATTTTGAAGATTGTATTCTTGAACTAAATTACTGGAATCCTGACTATGTTATGGCTGGTTGAAGATATCGTTTTCTTAATCGTGGATTTTTTCATGCCTCACTTATTTGTATGCCATATTCTTTTTCTCTATCTGGAAAGTTTTCTGCCATGCTGTCTGTAAACAGTCTTTTTTAATATATCATTTTTTTTTCCTTCTTTTTTTATTGACTTTAATTAATCTTAAATTATTGTTTTATTTTCATCTAGAAGCTGCTATGCTGATTTCTGAAGATCTTTTGATATTTTAAAGAAATTTTTCTTTTCAGGGACAGGGATACATATCAGATGCATAAGCAGTTGCCTAGCAAGTGCAAGGTCCTGAGTTCAGTCCCTGTAATGCAAAAAAAAAATTTTTGTTTTCATAATCACTAACTGTAAGCCTGTCATCTATAATTGAAATCCCGTCTGCAAATTGCCTTAATTTGCTGTAGATACTTACAATGGGAATTTTATTCTCCTGGATATCTGCCTAAATTTACCTTATGGATTCTATTTTTTTCTATGTTGGGCATTCATGGCTTCCATAATTTACTTAAGCTTCTTCTTTTTTTTTTTTTTGTATCTGTTTGCTCTTGAGTTACTGAGCATGATTTTCCTATTGAGAATGCTATCTATGCAATTATCTGAGAAATTATTTCTGATTTGATTTTTTCTAGAGCCTCATTCAATTGCTTTGTTGTTACTGCTTCAGATAGGCCAAGTGGGTGGCTTTTGTATTGTCCCTCCTCATTGTTCACTGAATTTGTCTTTGGTGCCTGAATGTCTGGAGTTGCATCTTACTTAAGGGTCTTGTCATTTTCATTCCCTTCTTAGATTAATTATTGGTGGTGATTGATAATTTCACATTGCTTATGATGGGTGACTTTATTGCTAGTATTTAGAATGATTAGGAAATTACTACTTCTCCAAAGTATCTTCAGTATGTAGCTGGCTTTTGGATTTTGAGTCTGTTCCAAGGTCCTACCTCTTCAATTCTGTAGGGTGTGAGAAGTTGCTGCCTGTTTGGCCCAGCCCTTGGTTCTTTGGTACTGTACTACAGTATTTTCTGTGACTTTTAATTAATTTCAGTCTTGGAAGAAGATGTTTAGAATATTTATGTCACTTTTTGTGGTACTTAATGGTATCTACAGCAATGGCAATAGAATCGAATATAGTCTAAAAATAGCGAACTGAGCTAACCATTAATTTGCCAACTTTAACAGTATGAACTAGACTTGTCATTATATAACAAAATCTAAATCAAGCCAAAAAATTATATGTAGTATTCATGTCTTTATTATATCAATTCTAGGGACTGGGGAGATGGCTCAGTGGAATAAACACTTCCCTGGCAAGCACAAGGACTTGAGTTCAATCCCTGGTTCTACCAAAAAAAAAAATCAATTCTAACTCTCAGGGGTTAAAATTTAGAAGGGATTAGGAAAAAAATACAGAAGTAGAAGAAGAGGATAAGTTTAGAAGTAAGGCTCGGGGACAAAGGGGATCACAATAATTTTGGGAAACTGGTTCAGAAAACTACAGGGAGGGGCCGGGGAGATGGTTCAGTGGATTAAACGCTTCTCTGGCAAGTGCAAGGGCCTGAGTTCAATCCCTGGTTCCACCCCCCACCCAAGAAAAAGAAAACTACAGGGAAAGAGAAAAGGAAGGGATAAAAGAACAAAAGAGAACCATCACCACAAAGGGTGAGAAACTTGGTTCATACTCATATAAGAAAAAGATTAAACAATATAGGTAAACAAAACAAAAATAAAACCACCACTACAACAATAAATAGAGAAAAGAGTTTATTTCTAGATGTGTCTCTGCTGTCCCTGGTAGGCAATGTGGAAAGAAAGAGTGACAATCATATTGATTCATTCTATCAAGTCAGTAGAAGGGGTTTTTTTTTTGGCAGGGTAGTGGGTAATTTCAGTAACTCTGCACTTTCTGGCCAAGACCGACTCATTCAGCCTTCAGCCATCAGGACAGCTTCTATGGGCCTGAGCCCAGCTGGGAACCTCTAGATGGAGCCAGCAGCCATGCTAGGTTCTAAGCTAGACCAGTCCCTTTCCAAGATGGCTCCTGGCCAATTGCTTTCTCATACAGAATAACTGAGCCCTCAACACTCATTGCCAGCTAGTGCAGTCCTTTATGCCTCCTGCACCCCTCCACTGCTGCTTCTTTCTGTGGAGGCTTTAGGGGTTGCCAGCAGTCACCTGTGATGTGGGTTTGAATTGCTCCTCTTGCACAGTATGTCCTATCTCAGAGAGAAGGAGCCATTGGCTACCTCCTTCTTTTTGAAGATTCTCCATTCATTCTTTGTAGGCTTTAATTCATACTTCAGATTTTTCTGGGTTAGAGGATCCACTCTACTCATTCTTGTCTTCCTCGTGTTGCTATGTTTCATTGTCTGGGCATAGACTTTCAGAGAGCACCCCCTCCACAAAATTTATACTTTTTGAGAGTAGAGCCTTTGTTTATGGCTTTGCCCTTAATATCTAGACTATGTCCTGGTAGAAGCAGGTTTCTAAGAAATACCTTAAATGAATAAATACAAGAATGAATCTTCATTAACTTATAGTGAAGAATATGAACATTTGAAATGATATTTTGTATCAATTTTGTAACCTAAGGCAAATTAACATCTCTAAGCCTCCAGCAATTAAAAATGCTAGTTTTATCTATCTCTGTGTTTGTCCTAACTGGCTTGCTTATATTTGCCTACTTATGATACATTTTTAAGCTTCAGAGAAATTTTTCAAAATGAAATTCTAACTAACTCTTTTTAAATTTTACTTCTCTGTTTAAGAAAATCAAGTCATTGCTCTAAAGACACTCTGTTTTTTTTCAGATAATCTTGAGACAGTGTTGAATTCTTGAGCTTGGTATTACTAGACTTAGAAACTGCCTGTCTCACAGCCTCATCCTATTGTCTCTATATATCATCACAAGACAGTGCCAGTAGCTGTCTTGACTTTAACACTGAACTTATTTTTGTCTCTGTTTCTTCCATTCAATTTCTAATTCATACTTTACATGGCCAGTTTCAAGTCTCTGCTTAAAAGCAAGTCTCTTATATAACTATTATTTTTCTACATATTTGTCTTTCCCTATGAATTTACCCATCTTTGTATCAAGTCATCCTTCCAGCTTTCTTATATTGAGTCATGGGATTTTGCAATTAGTCAGCCATGTTTGTACTAGAGCAATAGGAATTTCCTGTGAATTCACTTAGAATATTTACCTTGGCTGTGCTCTAATCTCCATGTGGACAGGATTACAACTTTTGTCTTGATTATACTTTCTTTAGAGCTAAGTACAGTGCTTAATGATCAGTAAGTTGTTTTGCAAATATTTTTTAATATTTAGAAAAATAAATATGAAAAAGGAAACTGAACTAAAAATATAAAAAAGGAGGAGAATAAAGGAGTTTGAGGAAGAATGGAAGAAAGATCTAAGAGATGACAACAGTAATAGGATTACTGTAAGAATAAGGAGGCCAAGGAAAAAAGAAATTAAAATGTAAGAGAAAGCAAAAAGTAGAGATATTTTACCCTTCATTTTTAGAATAATTTCCCGACCTATGTTTAGGAATAAAGAATTTTCACATGTGTTAATCAATATCTCATGTCATTATATTTTTGGTACATAGTTTTTTTATTCAATATTTTCTAGGTCTACTTTTAACTTTAAAAACACTGATCTTAAGTTATTTTTAGCCTAAATCACTCTTATTTTTATGAACTTGTACATCTTTCATGTATAACATCAAGTTTTATGATGAATGTCTAAATTTTTGAAAATTTATTATAGTAAAAAATAATAAACTAATCCACTTCAAATGACCTCTACTTGCATTAAACATACTTATCCCCTCATTCTTGCCATTTTTTCAAGCTGTTTTGGACGTCTTCTTTCATGAGGGCCACAAGTTTCATAGTACCCAATTAAGTGACTAAGATTAGATCAGGTGAAGAGGATAGAAAAAGGGACACCATATACTTTTATCAACCTGCTTTTCTGTTGAACAAAGCTCAGAAGAATCACTAGCCATTTTTTTGTACATCTCATAAAAACACTCATGAAAGAAGAAGGAGAAGAGAATGAGCCAAAGTGACCATGATGCTATTTGTAACATTTCTCCAAGAGGAATATAATTATGCATACAGTATAATTATTATGCATTGGATAAACAAAATAAAAATTATGAAGTTGATGTACCTGTTTTAAAAAAGACAGAAGTCAGAGTGACAATGACTGGCAAGAAGACTTACCATCCAAATCATTCTCTGGTGTCTCTGCTGTGTACCAGTTGGAAGGCGGCCCAGTGCCATTGACTGTCATGGCTGACACTTGGAAACTGTACTGACTTCCCTTCTCCAGCCCTGTGAACATTTTCCACAGGAAAAAAAAGTTGAAAAGTATTTCTATGTAGGTTCAAAAAGTTTTAGCAAATTATAGTTAAGACCCTTGCCATTATTTGATTATTGTTACTTTAACTAAAAGATCAGAGATACCACAGCAAGAAATCTAGCTATTTTTCATACATTGCCATGCATTTTTTCCAGCTTATAGAACTGTATCAATGAAAACAGCCTCAGGGTAGACTCCAGATATAAAATATGAACAATGAAGAAAAAATAGAAAATATAAAGAATCAATTTTTTCCTCACTGTTCAGAAAAGCCCTGCCTATAAATTATGAATAGTCAATCTAAAATTTATATCTCCACCCTTCATACAAGATCAGTAATTATTTTTTGTTTGTGTACAGCAAGAAAAAACCCCAAACCATTGGTATAGAAAATACCGTGGCTTTCATCTGTTGAGACCATTTTGGAGCATAATTTGTTTTTGTTTTAGCTGCCATATTGCAGGTGAAGAAAGTCAATCTCTTTGATATTTTGGATGCACTGTATTATAAGCAGTGATGCCATTAGGATTTAATTTGGAGAGCCCAGGAAAGTCAGATGGACTATGGAGGACCTGAGTTTCATATGATATGTGTATGTTTTAAGTATAAAGGACATCTCTCTTAGCTAAATCTCAACATAGCTTGCTAACATGACAAATTATTGCAAAACAAGTGATACTCGTCTCTATAAATACTTTCTCCAACACTCAGGTTGAAGCAATATTCATTATAACCCACATTAAGGGGAACTTTAATATGTGATTGGGTGATGGGTGTTCTGCCCTCATGAATGAATTAACATTGTTTATTGTAGGTGTGAGTTAGTTATTACAGAAGTGAGTTCCTGATAAACAGGATGAGCTTGGACCAATTTTCTTCTCTGTCTTGCTTACCTGCTTGTGTTTCTACCTTGTCTCATTGGATAGATGCTCTGGATGGCAGTACTTACCTCCTAGACTTCCCACACTCCAGAACTATAAGCCATGACCTACTATTGTTTATAAGCTATCAAGGTGATAAGGAACTCTGTTACAGCAGCAGAAAATAGGCTAAGGCACTTTTGAAAAGACTTTGAAATTTCTGATCACTTACATTTTTTAATAAACACAAAGAAAATACTAGATTAAAATACAACATTCAACACAGCAAGTTTGCAGAGTTACTTTTGAGCATAAGATTTTGTCATTCTTGAAGTATGCTTGTATTAGTTTCAATTTGCTAACATGGTATTGATCTGATATTTTTTTAAAAACATTCCTCTTTTATGAGCACCACTGTCAATTATTGAGGCAGAGAGATTGCAGAGCTCTTCAGGGAAATTTAAAAATTAATAAGGAGAATTCAGAAAGAAATACTTATGTAATCACTGAAGTTTATGAATTTCATTATTTGAAACAGAGCTTTAATTCATCAAACATATACTCTTCCATGTTAGGCTGAAATTTAGCTTCATTCAATTTCAAAATGGAACACAGTTTTATCAGAGCTGTTTGTTATAACATTTCAATCTGAAATGTCCCTGAAATCTTACATATTCAGAGATTTGGCTTTTGGAAGGTGATTGGGCCACTTTATTCACCAGTGAACAAATCCATTTATGAGTGAAACCTGAGCGTGCTGTTAGGAGGTGGGGTCTGATTAGAATAGGTGATCAGTGGAGCATGACCCAGAAGGGGAGGGTGGATTCTTGTCCAGACACCTCCCCCATCTCTCTGCTTCTTCTCTGCCATGGGTTGAGCAGTTTCCATTTCCCATAACTTTTTACTAAGCCTTTTCTTCTTTGTCCCAAATGACTATGTATGGTTTTAAATTGCTGAAGGCATGAAGCAAAAGAAACCTTTCCTCTAAGTTATGGCTTGCTGCTATTTTTTCCAGTGATGCAAAGGTGACAAATCCAGTGTTGCCAACATCTGAATGAAAATACCATCAATGAAGGTTATTTTATGTAATAACTTGGCTACGTGACAGTACCCCATTACTCAATCAGACACTAATTCAGCTATTTTCGGGAAGGTATTTTAGAGATGGTACTCAAGAGCACATTCTGCTGATTTTAAATTAGGGATATTGTCTATCCTAGAGTATATGTGTGCCAGATCCAATCATGTGAAAGGTGTTAGGAGCAGAGTTGAGGCTTCTCTGAAGCAGAAATTCTTCCTGTGGATACCACTTTCCATTTGAAAGATCTATCCTGTGCTTCTGGTAGCAAGCTGTTGATTTTGGAAATGGCTCGCAAGACATTGCAATCATTAAAGCCCATCATTGTACAATAAGTATCTTTACGATCTCTCACCATTGTTCTCTCTCTCTCTCTCTCTCAATGGAAATATTTTGAATGTCAAATTCTGTTTCATCATTTACCTTTAAAACAAGTAATTGGGTTTAGAATCCATCAATTTTAATATAATTTAATTTGAAATATCTCACTCTATATTTGACGTGCAAATTTCTTCTAATAATTTTGCCAAATTTTGATCTAAATATTTTGAATTCAGGATCTGTCAGGGTATTTATGTAATTTTGAGTAAAATGAAACCTCTTAATAATTTCACGTTAATGACAAGAAGCAGTTTAGAGATTGCTTTGTGATTCCTCAGTGGGGTCTCTCCTAGCCAGCCCCAGCTATTTTTCCAAATATCCCTTCCAACCATGTACAGCAGAAAAACTCTTATTATTTCTATTACAGCTGCCATGAACACTTAGCACCCAACATAGATGAGTGTCCTAGGTCACACTGACAATCTTTTCAAATATTTTGAAGTGTGGTATTTTATAGAAAATACCTTTTGGATTTTGCATTTTATTTTAGAAGACAGCTGTGCTGTAAAATCTTTCTAACTATAAACATCTAGAAATTCTAGGTTGAACACAGAAATATTTAAATACGATATGCACAGATACTCAATATTAAAGGCAACCTTAAGTGATGTGTGGTAAAATGACCCATCTATTGCAGGGTACCCAAAAAATAAATGCACAGGTAAAGAAGGAAAACTTTAAGAATATAAAATCCACTGAGGTAAGCAACCCATTTCCAACAGTTTAGCTTGTGAGAAAACTAGTTTAGATTGTCCTGACTATGCAAGGCCATGGCATTACATCCAGGTGGATACCAGAGTTACCTAGGATAATTTAAAAGTATAACTTCCTTTGTTTAAACATGGCTACCTGAATATTTAGACTCAAAATTCAAGGATCTTCTGATTCAGCCCATTTTCAGTAGGGGTGACTGTGAATATTCTATTTTTAGGTAATTATAGGTTTCTGAGGTAAACAGAACCATACATGTTGGCTTTGCTGAGAGACATTGTAGATTTTATGTTCATAATTCTATGTTGCAAATATTCCTGCTTCAATGCTATGGGGAGTATTTGTCTAGACAAGGTTTGATTCACTCAGTACTCTTTCAGTCTCAATTCTCCATCTGTAGTAAAGCTAAGAATACGTGCTTTCACCTATCATGTTCTCATGAAGGCTCGAATGGCAAGCTTAAAAAAGTAATTTGCAAAATTAATTAGTTAGCCAGGTACAATGGCCCTTGCCTACAGTTCCAGCTACCTGGAAGCTGAGAAAGGAGGGTCACAACTTCAAGGCCAGCCTGGAAGATTGAATAATATCTGTCTCGAAAAAAAAAGAAGAGGGAGTGAAGTCCAGTGGTGGAGCATCCCTTGGTTACATATCAAGTGTTACACAAATCAAGCACTTAATAGGTATAAAGGTGACTAACATTTGTATAGTTATTTGTGAGTTGCATCATTTGATTTTTAAATACATTGTAATTTAGCATAGACTATATTATTATTGCTATTTAGAAACAATATAATAATGATCAGAGAAATTAAGAAATTAAATTAAATAGCATTGCTATTTCTGTCATATCCTTACTACTGTTGGTTATAGAATCTGGACTCTATTTTAACCCCTGCTTTGCTCTAAAGACCGCACTCTTCTCTTCAAAGGCCTAGTACCCAAGGGTAGACACAAAAGAGACACTGTTGACATCTAACAGGCACTATTTCTTACCCAGGGAATTTCTGTTCATAATGATCACATCCAGAGTATCCTCTAGAGTTGTAGGAACAGTCACCATGACTGAGGCATGGAGGTGGGGGTCAACCTCGAAGCTGCTATCAAATATCTAAGCTTCTTCCACTCATTGGAAGTGGAATAAAGGAAAGAGATTCTCAAGTGAAAGGCGATTTCTGAGTGTATATTTCTAGAAGTTGTTGTGTTGGATTTGAGATAATAGGAATATTAAATTATGCCTTAAATAAATTGATCATAAAAGCTTTACTCAATCTCTGCTAGAGTCATTCAGGGCCATGAGCTGCAAGTGGGTTCTTTACTTCCTGCTATCCAACACTCAGCTCTTCTGACGCCTGTAGTTGTTCACTGTGTCTTTACACCCTTGCACAGTCTGTGTTTATCTCTGCATTCTCATCAATAAGATGATGAAATATAAATACAATTTCTTATAAAAATTTAATTTGAAAATATACTCAAATTTTAGCATATTGGTTAATCAAGTTTCAATAAATTATAGTATAGCTCTTTCTGTTATAAAGATGAATTATAGTTTTAGTGTTAATGTTCATTCATTCATATACTAAAATGATTCACAATAAACTAAAGATAGTGACGTCACATGCAGCATAGAGATCCCATGACTAACACCCCTGAAGTGCAGTTTGAATTATCCCCTTTAAATAGTGAGAGCTTTTACTAATATCATTCTCCAGTTCTCAGGTGGCTCTTCTAAAAAATAAGGGGTTTTGGTGAGAAGAACTCTGTCCTTCCTGAAAGGTGCAGAACTCTAAAAGTTGGAATATTCTGTGTGTGTGTGTGTGTGTGTGTGTGTGTGTGTGTGTGTGTGAGAGAGAGAGAGAGAGAGAGAGAGAGAGAGATTCCCAAATGTTTCTAAGAAAAACTATGTAACTTTATTGTACAGTCTGCATATCTTCTAATTTCCTTC